CATTGCCAGTGCCAACTGCGTCGATTACTAGTTGAGGTGAAAATAGTTTTTCTTTGGCTATTATTACTGTTAGGACCTGGCAAAAGAAAAAATGGTTAATGGTTTGTTATTACAGTAATCACAAACCATCATGATATCAATGTGAAATTATATATTCTGAATCAGAAATAAATTATCTGCAAGATAAAATAAGATTCAATTCTCTATCTTAAATACTTCTGAAGATATTGAGGCTCAAAGTTGAAAACTTTGTCTCAAATTTGGTAAAAACTTCAAAGTCGTTTTTCTTGGAAACGAAGCCCTTGGGCTGAGAGTTTCAAATAACTTTTTTTGTAGCCCTTATTAAGAGCTACAATTGAGCAAAATATTCATGCCGATAGCTTCACTGGTTTCCAAAATATGACCCTTTGAAATATTTGAAAATCAAATTTGTGAAATGTCCCACTGTCTGAGTGTCTCAAAAAAATTAAAAACCCTAAAAAAGTCATGATTTTTGTCAATTTTCAATTGTATAGGCTCTATAATCTGACGGCGGAGCATTATTAGCTATTACCAATATGGCACAAACAGCCCTCAGAATTTATGAGAATCCAGAGTTAAAAGTCGACTTCACACTAAATGAATAAACCAAGCCTTAGACTTGCAATCCAAAAACCGCGAATTTATTTCCAGAATCCAACCAGTGGCTGGGCACGTGGGGCAAACACATGAAATCGCCCATGTTCAAAACCCTAAAGGAAACCCAAAAACTCAACCATTTTCCGGGCACATTCCAGCTGGGCCGCAAAGACAGACTGTGGCGCAACTTTCAAAAAATGATTTCCAAACACGGCCTTAAGGAGTTCGGCTTTCTACCTCACACCTACGTACTACCTCAGGAACTCAAACTGCTCAAGCAAAATTGGGATTTCAAAAATTCATCGTCTTGTAATAATGAAATGTGGATTATTAAACCAGTAAGTAATACGGCTTATTATGAAATAAGACTATAATATTATTTCAGCCAGCATCTGCCAGAGGCGTAGGCATTAAAGTAATCAACAAATGGTCTCAACTGCCAAAGAAAACCTCATTGGTGTGCCAAAGATACGTGCATAATCCCTACCTCATAAATGGAAGCAAATTCGATTTAAGGCTGTACGTTTTAGTAACAAGTTTTCATCCTTTGAGGATATATTTGTATCCGGAAGGCTTGGCCCGATTTGCCAGTGCCAAATACAGCGATGACGTCAAAGACCTAAAAGACAGATACATGCATTTGACAAACTATAGTATTAATAAGCTGAGTAGTCAGTATACGGCTAATGAGGATGCTAATGCTTGCCAGGGGCATAAGTGGACTTTGTCTAAATTAATGGAATATATGAAAAATGAAGGTGTCGATACTAGGGGTTTGTGGAAGAATTTGCAACAACTAGTCATTAAAACGATTATTTCATCTGAGGCCCTTGTCACACCTCTTTGCGAAGAAAACATGAACAACTACTATAATTGTTACGAGTTGTTTGGGATTGATGTGCTATTGGATGAACATCTAAAGCCCTGGCTACTAGAAGTCAATATTTCGCCTAGTTTGCACAGTGCTTCGCCTTTAGATGCGCATGTAAAGGGCCCTTTAGTACAAACCCTATTTAATATGGCCCAGTTTCACTTTCCAGTCAAATTGGAGCAGAATATTAAGACTGCACCTCCCGGTTTCCAGCCGCGATTGTACACAAGGGCTTTAACCAAAAAGGAGAGAGTAAAGCATACTAGATTTGTTTTGTTTGAGGAGAGAGAGGATTATGTTTATGATGTTTTGAAAGAGCTAACGGGAGATGATGTGCGGCAATTGATTAGGGCCGAGGACGAGTTTATTGCTAAGGGCCAGTTCGAAAGGATTTTTCCTACTAATCACACTTATAAGTATTTGCAATTTATGGAGCCCCGATATTACAATAGGTTGTTTGATGCTTGGGAGACGAAATACTCTAGTAGGAGGGAAGATGGCATTTCTTTGCTGCAAACAATGTGCTCGCAAAAGGTGCATTGTAAAGTGGGCGCCCTACATAAGGTAAGCATTTTGGTTTTAAGGCTTTCGCATTAATCAATTTTTTTGGAAAGACAAGAAATTTCATTGTGGCCTGTTTGCGCGCCGTCTGCGCCCAATGTCGGAGTAAGTTGGGGCATATAAAACGACAGAGCCTTATGTGTGTTTACTATATAGAGCCAGTTAATATAAATAGTTAGGCTAGAGTTTTAGATTATTTACATGGTGTGTATAGTTGAAATAGATAAATGGTATTAGGCGTCCCCCCACGCCATTTTATCGGCACAACTGTCAGTGTCAATTTAAAAAAAAAAAAAATGTCGTATGTAAGATCAAAATGGCTGCTTTTCCCTTTTAGAAAAATTCGAATTTTTAGATTTTGCAATTTTTGACTTTACCAATCGAAAAAGGAGGTGAAAATTAGTGGAAAGACATTTACGCAACTTTGTTTTTCGGGTTTTAGGGCTTGTGAAAAAATAAAAACCGTTTTTTTCACATTTTGGGCCCAGAAAATTTCAATAATCTGACATGGTTATGAGCAATTGCCCAGATCGTTATTGAATTTTGAGCAAATGGAAATAAACTATATACTATTCGAAAGAGCATTAAATTCTCTATAAATCGGTGCAAAATTGAGTTTGATAGCTCGAATAGTTTTTGACACATAGAAGCTCAAAGTTGAAATTTTGTCTCAAATTTGGTAAAACTTCAAAGCCGTTTTTCTCGGAAATAAAGCCCTTGGGCTGGGAGTCTCAAATAACCTTTTTTGTAGCCCTTATTAAGAGCTACAATTGAGCAAAAGATTCATGCCAATAACGTTTATGGTTTTCAAAATATAAGCATTTGAAATATTTGAAAATCAAATTTCCATGCATACCCCTTTGGAAAAATTCGAATTTTCAAATTTTTGGATTTTGCAATTTTTGACTTTACCAATCGAAAGAGGAGGTGAAAATTAGTAGAAAAGCATTCACGCAACTTTGTTTTTTGGATTTTAGGGCTTGTGAAAAAATAAAAACCGTTTTTCCACATTTTGGGCCCATCAGAAAATTTCAATAATCTGACATGGTCATAAGCAATTGCCCATATTTTTGTTAAATTTTGAGCAAATTGAAATAAACTATATACCATTCGAAAGAGCATTAAATTCTCTATAAATCCGTGCAAAATTGAGTTTGATAGCTTGGATAGTTTTTGAGATATAGAAGCTCAAAGTTGAAACTTTGTCTCAAATTTGGTAAAAACTTCAAAGTCGTTTATCTTGAAAACGAAGCCCTTGGGCTGGGAGTCTCAAATACCCTTTTTTGTAGCCCTTATCAAGAGCTACAATTGAGCAAAAGATTCATGCCGATAGCTTCACTGGTTTCCAAAATATAAGCATTTGAAATATTTGAAAATCAAATTTCCATTTTGAAAATTTGGAATTTTCAAATTTTTAGATTTTGAAATTTTTGACTTTACCAATCGAAAAAGGAGGTGAAAATTAGTGGAAAAACATTTACGCAACTTTGTTTTTTGGGTTTTAGGGCTTGTGAAAAAATAAAAACCGTTTTTCCACATTTTGGGCCCAGAAAATTTCAATAATCTAACATGGTCATGAGCAATTGCCCATATCGTTATTGAATTTTGAGCAAATTGAAATAAACTATATACCATTCAAAAGAGCATTAAATTCTCTAAAAATCCGTGCAAAATTGAGTTTGATAGCTCGAATAGTTTTTGAGATATAGAAGCTCAAAGTTGAAACTTTGTCTCAAATTTGGTGAAAACTTTAAAGCTGTTTTTCTCAGAAACGAAGCCCTAGGGCTGGGAGTCTTAAATAACCTTTTTTGTAGCCCTTATCAAGAGCTACAATTGAGCAAAAGATTCATGCCGATAGCTTGACTGGTTTCCAAAATATAGCCCTTAGGAAAAATTCGAATTTTTAAATTCTTGTTTGAATATTGAAGGTAACTTGAAGGATTTTGGAAACCATTTAGATACAGGGGAAAGTTGTATTGCACAAATACTACACTATAGTTACGCCCTCTGTCATAGTTGAATCGAATTAAATTTAGCCCCCTCCCCATCAGTCAGCTAGAGAATTTTAAAATTTAATTAATTAAACGTGTATTTAGATTAGTTGATTAATTAGTATAAGAAAGTGCTGAAATTGACAATTATAAATGTCTCTTCAGCGCTTTCATAAATTAGAATCCCCCAAACAGCACACAAACGTCTTTTTTAGGTCTGCATTACATCTTAGAAATTTGTCCTAAAGACGTCTTTACACGCAGACGTTTTTGCGCTGTCTAAGCTAAGTTTATTTGATAATTATTTTCGAATTATTCTAGAATTGTCCGAGTACGATCCTTGCCAGCAACATGCAACCGTCCAGCAAGGGCCAAACGAGACCCCCCGAAGAAATCGCCGAGCAGAATACACTAGCATTTAACCTGCCAAATAACGAAGAAGAAAGCTAATAATTTACTGCCAAAAAAAATTGTAATTTGTTTTTCTAAAGCTGCATTCCATTACAATCTGTGGGAAGCCAGCTTAAGATTGGATTTAAAAAAAATAATAATAAAATTATAAATTAAGTCTTCATTTTATTATGTAATTTCAATAAACTATTCGTCTTGTAAATCAATCTCTTGCTCTTCGAACGTAGTCCAAGAACCTGTAAAACCAACTATAGTCAAACATATGAGACTATTGACAACTTACTGTCACTTAAGTTGTCCACCATGACGTCAGCAGGGATTATAGGGGGCGCCTCTTGCCTGTGAATTTCGTGCATTTGCACGTTAATGTCCAGTTGCATCCTGACATCCAAAACCATAAACCCTACTGTTATTAAAAGGGGCAACCTGTACCTACAGTCCCATGCTAGTTTTAACAGGAACATTAACGGGGTTGTCATTGTTGCAGACTCACTCATACTTATTCTATAAATAAAGACAATAAATATTTTTTTTGTATAGGTGTTTTATTAATCAAAATAATCAATTGTGTCTCCGCTTTTGTAGGCTCCCTTATGCAAAATGTCCAATAGTTTTGCAACAGTTTGCGTAGTTGTTAAGACACTTGACTGACGCATTTGTTGGAATTGAAGCCTCAAATCCTCACTGTCAGCCTTGTCGCATATTGAATTAAACATCTCTGTAAGCACCGGGCCGGGGGAATAATTCAAAACCGTAACATTAGGCTGTTCTAGTGCTAGAACTTTGAAAAATAGCTCTCTGGCTGCTTTGCCTGTACCATACATTGACATGTTGGCAAATGGCACTCGGCCTACTAGGCTCGTAATATTAACCACTACAAGCTTAGGTCCAAGGATTTTGGCCAAAAAAGCATTGTTTAATAGGATTGCAGAAAACAAATTCAAATCGAAATATTGTTGCCAGGTTTGCAAATCGTTTAATTCAGTGGTTTGTTTTAAAACCCCCACATGGCCTGCATTATGGAACAGATAAGCAACCTCTATACCAGATAAGTCAATGTTGGACAACATGTTCTCATATAATGCCTTGTCTGGTTTAGATAAATCAACTATATGAGTCAAGACAGTTAAAGACTCAGATATTATGAGGCTTTTGGTTTGGTCCAAGCCCTCTTGACTGCGTGCTAGTAAAACCAAAATCGACTGAGAATGTAAAAGTTTCCCTAACTCAACTGCTATAGTTTGGCCAATGCCTCTAGAAGCCCCCGACACTATTACTAGTGATTTTTTGGTAAAATCCATTACTTACTAAGCTGATCGTACTTGATAAGCTCAACTGCTTCTTCTTGGCTCAGAGAGTCAAAGCTCAGTTGCAAATCTGAGTCTAGAAGTCGTCTCAAGCAAGCCTCGCGTTTCTCTTGCAATTGCCTCAGAAAATCAGGATCTGACTTGAGTTTTCTGAGTTTTGCTTCTGCAACCATATGGATATGGATAAATGGATTAATTTTGAAAATTATTTACCTAAGATTGCTAAGTATTGGGCGTGGTCTGGGAGTTTAGGTGTTGGCGCGAAATTGTCTTCGAATTTTGTTATTTTTGTATTGTTTTTTTTTGGGGTGATGGGCCAAGGATCGGCCATACTTGAATTATGAATAGTGTCAGCGTCAAATAGGCTTTCATCTCTTTTTGTCTCGGCTTAATAAAACGAGACAGCACATACTCTCATAGTTTTTTTTGAATGAATATAAATATAATCAATGGGCTTTGTTTACTATTAAAATACTACTCCCCAAATAATAATAATGGCTTTTCTAGAGGTAGGTAAATACAATATTATTTTCCCAATATATGCAATAATTCTATTAATATTTTCAGTGGCGCAAATTCAATTTCTTCAGCCTTAAGCCCAATATAGACGGGAACCGCCTTTGCGACCATTTTAAGGTACATTCACACTATATAAATGACTCATTAATTTAATAAAATAATCGCAGGAAAGCAAAATCACTTGCACATCAGCAGGAAACAACCACCTAATTTTTGGAGATTCCCTGGGCCAAATATCATTGGTTTCCAGGTCTTGGCACACAGTCACTTACCGGGCTTACGAGATTTCAATCGAACTTGCTTACCAATTGAGAAACTCACCTTTATTGGTTACAATAGGGGTAAGAACCAAAGACAATATTGTCACTAGAACATAATTGATTATTGTAGCATGATGAGCCAGGTATAAACCCTCTAATAAAAGTCTGGGACACGAGCAAATTTGACAAAAATGGGACGCCTTTTTGTCTTAGGGTCACTAAAGCCCTTGCAGGGCAAGTGAGCGCCTTAGCTGTAAATGACAACCTTATAGCTGTTGGATTTACTGACGGCTCACTAGTCTTATTTAGGGGGGACATTTCAAGAGACAGAAGCTCCAAACAGAAAATCTTTAAAGAATTACAAGGCATTACAGGCTTGGCATTCAAGATTTCAGCCAACAATAGTTTTCTCTTTGTCTGCACTGAAAGAGAAGTTGTAGTTTATAATATAACCAACAAGGATAAAGAGCAAAAGGTTGTCATTGGGTTTTAATTAAATAGGAAACATTCTTATTTGGTTTTTTAGCACTTTCTAGACACTGCTGGATGTGCCAAGTACTGCAATGTATTGGCTGATTTCACTCAAGAGAGTAACTTTATGGTTGCCAGAAATGATGTGAGTAATTGTCACTTAAAATTGACAACTAGGTATAATTGTCATTAAAATAACTGGCATTTAGGTATAACTGTTATTTGGAAATGACATTTAGACGTTAGAAAAACTTCAGACTTTCAAATAGTTATTGAACAATACAAGTCTAAAGTCAATCCTGATAAATCACTTACCTTAAGAGTACTTCTGCGTCTTCAAATTTCAGAATTCAATATTGTCATTCTTTGAAAATTCACTAAAAGTACCTATACTTAACACAAAAAGTACCAACTGAGTCAATCTGAAGTTCAGATATAAAATTATGAGGTTTTTTCCAACTTTATACCAGAAAAAGTTGGAAAATCATCTTTGAAAAATCCAGAAAAATACTTCAGAGTATCAGATCGACTTGAAACTTTCAGGATTCATTAACCAGGATGTTTTCATCAAACAAGGCAAATTTGAAGTCAATTTGAAGCTCACAAATAAAATAATGAGGTTTTTTCCAACTTAATACCAAAAAAAATTGGAAAATCATCTTTGAAAAATCCTGAAAAATACTTCAGAGTATCAGATCGACTTGAAATCTTTAAGAAGTCATAATTAGTCTCATTTCAGGCAATCTACTGTTACACATCAGACGGCAAAGGTCCCTGTTACGCAGTAGAAGGCGAAAAAACAATCCTGGAATGCTTCAGAAGCTACTTAATCATAGTGTCCAAAAGCACAAAAAAATCCGAAGACCGCCTCACTGTATTGGACATTTACAACAAATTCATCGTATTTCAATGCGAAATGTCCAATATACGAGCCATTTTCCACGAATGGGGCTCACTTTTCGTCCTCACCCGAGACTGCAAACTGTATCATTTAGATGAAAAAGACTTGCAGTCCAAGTTGACTTTACTTTTCAAGAAAAACCTCTACGACGTTGCCATTAGGATTGCTAAAAGCCATCAATATGATCTTGATGGTTTGGTTGATATTTTTGTACAGTATGGGGACCACTTGTGCGACAAAGGGGACTTTGCAGGTGCAATTGAGCAATACATAAAGACCATTGGCAAATTGGAACCCAGCTACGTTATACGCAAGTTTGTAGATTCTCAACACTTGGAAAAACTAATCATGTATTTGCAAGTATGTTAATTGAGTAGTTTACCTAATTATTAATTTAATACAATTTCTATATTTAGGCACTTCATAAACAAGGCCAAGCTACAGAAGATCATACCACATTATTACTCAATTGCTACACAAAATTAAACAACGCTATTGGCCAACAAAGCGACAGCCTTAAGGAGTTTATCCAATCAAAAGATGACAACTACGATGTAGATGTTGCAATTAAAATTTGCAGACACGGCAGCCCTGCAGAGGCCTTAATGTTGGCCAAAAGGCACAAAGAACATGATTGGTATATTAAAATTCAAATAGAGGACCATCAAAAGTATCTAGAAGTTTTAGAATATATAAGCAATTTGCCATTTGAATTGGCCGATCATTACATGAAAAAATATGGGCAAATTCTAGTTAAACATCTGCCCTATGAGAGTACGCAGTTTCTGAAACGTCTTTGCACCAATCACGATTCGATGCTCAGCAAATCTGATCCAGAATACTTCATTCATTTATTTCTTAACAATTCCGAGCGTTTGGTTGAGTTTTTGGAGCATTTGATTGGAGAAGGGTGCGTTCTGAGTCCTTCCGTTTACAACACTTTGTTGGAACATTATTTGCACGTTTGGGCCACTGTCGAGGCTGTAAGTGAACGCAACAAATTGACTCAAAATGTCTTGGAGCTGCTTCAAAATCCGGATATTAGGCTTGACAAGTCTCACGCTTTGGTTGTTTGCAATATGCATTCGTTTAGCGAAGGGATTTTGTATTTGTATGAAGAGCAAAAGTTGTATCAGCAAATTTTAAGGTAAATAATACAACAAAATCTCTTCTTAATTTTAATAGGTGTTTCTATATGATATATAGATATCACATTGCCAGGAATGATCCCAGCTCTGTGTTGGCTTGCTGTACCAGGTTTGGCCATCAGGACCCAACATTGTGGGTTCAAACTTTGTGGTCTTGCGTTAGAGACAACAAACAACCTTCCATGGATCTTTTAAATGAGGTTTGTTTGCACAGTAATATATATAATAATAACTTCTAAGTCTAATAATGAATGATGAGTTTTCATTGGCCAGATTTTTAAATAAATAGGAAATATACATTGTGACAATAAACAAAGTAGGTACTTACCCCCAGGGCCTTATATAACACTACTTATAACTTAAAATAACAGTTTATTTTTTTTAAATTTGGGCGGCGGACGTCCCCTCCATCTTGTCGGCACGACTGACACAACTCGACTGTCACTTTTCAAAAAAAAAAAAAAGAAGAAGCTTTGTGACGTTTCCCCCACTCTTATGTCATTTATGTAAAATCAAAAATGGCCGCTTTTCCAAGGCCTACTCAGTTTGTTTGTTGCAGAAAAAAAAAGAAGACGAAAATATTTACAATTTTTGTTAATTTTTTAATAAATAAGTGGGAATTGGACAATACACACCTTATCAGTAATAGTAATCGCCGCCATATTGGTGTGTCACCGTTTCCGACGTCAGTTGTTTAAATAACCTATGTTAAGGCGAGAAATAACATGGTACTACGTCACAAGTGGTGATTTGGCATGCTACATAATTATGAGGATCGTGTAGTAATAATGAAGAGGTCCTGTATATCCGCTATATTCTTGCTCAAATATTTCATTATTGACTATAGAAGTTGAGCCATATTTCCATCGAATCTTTCCAAAAGGAAATTTGATTTTCAAATATTTCAAAGGGCCATATTTTGGAAACCAGTGAAGCTATCGGCATGAATCTTTTGCTCAATTGTAGCTCTTGAGAAGGGCTATGAAAAAGGGTATTTGAGACTCCCAGCCCAAGGGCTTCGTTTCTAAGAAAAACGACTTTGAAGTTTTTACCAAATTTGAGACAAAATTTCAACTTTGAGCTTCTATATCTCAAAAACTATCCGAGCTATCAAACTCAATTTTGCACGGATTTATAGAGAATTTAATGCTCTTTCGAATGGTATATAATTTATTTCAATTTGCTCAAAATTTAATAACAATATGGGCAGTTGCTCATGACCATGTCAGATTATTGAAATTTTCTGATGGGCCCAAAATGTGGAAAAACGGTTTTTATTTTTTCACAAGCCCTTAAATCCAAAAAACAAAGTTGCGTGAATGCTTTTCTACTAATTTTCACCTCCTCTTTCGATTGGTAAAGTCAAAAATTGCAAAATCCAAAAATTTGAAAATTCGAATTTTTCCAAAGGGGTATGCATGGAAATTTGATTTTCAAATATTTCAAAGGGTCATATTTTGGAAACCAGTGAAGCTATCGGCATGAATCTTTTGCTCAATTGTAGCTTTTAATAAGGGCTACAAAAAAGGTTATTTGAGACTCCCAGCCTAAGAGCTTCGTTTTCAAGAAAATCAGCTTTGAATCTTTTGTGAAATTTGAGGCAAAGTTTCAACTTTGAGCCTCAATATCTTCAGAAGTAGTTAAGATAGAGAATTGAATCTTATTTTATCTTGCAGATAATTTATTTCTGATTCAGAATATATAATTTCACATTGATATCATGATGGTTTGTGATTACTGTAATACCTAACAAACCATTAACCATTTTTTCTTTTGCCAGGTCCTAACAGTAATAGCCAAAGAAAAACTATTTTCACCTCAACTAGTAATCGACGCAGTTGGCACTGGCAATGCAAGCATCTCATTGGGCCACATGAGGTCCTACATCATGAACGAGTTCCAACAAGAAATCAAAAAGACCCAGGAAACATCAGAGCTCACCAAAAACTACCAAAAAGATACCGAGAAACTCAAAAAACGCTTGGACGAACTTCGCAATGGGGTGACAAGAATACAAGGGTCTCGTTGCGCCGCCTGCCATCGTCCCTTGGAATTGCCCAACATCCATTTCCTGTGCGGACACAGTTTCCATCAGCATTGTTTCCAGAGTTTTACCGACGACGAAAACGACTGTCCCACTTGCCAAACCGAAAACAAAAACCTAATAGAGCTTCTAAAAGCAAGAGAATACAACAAAGACTTGCACGAAACTTTCCATTTCCAACTTGATAAGGCTCATGATGGTTTTTCAGTTGCAGCTGAATATTTCGGCCGGGGGGTTTTTAACAATTACAAAATCCTAATCGAACCTGAATCTAATAAGCCTAAATTGGACA